CGATGTATTCCTGACTCGAAGATTAAAAAAATTTTGATAATTTTTTCTTCGGAAATTTATGCCCACATCATTCCCTCACTTCTATATAAACTCATTGCGAGCTCGTGACGGGCTTAGTGGCAACTTAATGCTTGGGTTTCATTTAACTATGATGTATTCCACCATTAGCAGAATAGGTCATGTAAATAAGGATGTGGATTGGAAGATTAATGTTTATAGAGTTTAGCTTTTCAGAGCATTTCACTTCAAATGAAAATCCTATGTAGAAATGACTCAATTATCAAACATGACAAGAGAATGAGAGAGTTGAGAAGATGTGAAGAGATTGTAATGAAACAAGCCCACATAGTAAAGACGAAATGCACCACGAATCAGCCACAAAATCAAGCGCTAGTCAACCAGCTTTGTTTGAAGAGTGCATCCATAAATTAATAAAGTGTCGTTTTATGACATTACTGTGATGGTCAGTCATCCAGTAGCGTTTGAAGAAAGACAGGTGAGAAAAATAGTGAAATCCTTAAACAGAGTGCTCGTGTGTCCACCGCTCTAAATTTTCGAAAGGGGGGGGGGAGGGGAGTCGTCCATGTTTCACCAATCTTCTACCAGCAATCCGCGATTTTCAGGACTTTGACACTATAAATTGCTCTTTTTACTTGGCTGTTTGCTTTGTCTCCTTTCCTTCTCTGCTGCGGCTGACTGCCATATTTTTAGCATGTTATTCTTGCTCGCTAAAAATCTCTAAAAGCATACTGGAAAAAATGGCATTCTAAAAGACAGAATCGCTTTTCACTCATAGCGAAAGAAAAACTCTGCTGTTTGGAGAGCTGAATGTGCATACATTTGAAGCTTTTTATAATAGAATGCGGAAAATGTGAAACGGAACAAATCATGAAGTGCTATCTGTGTCCAATATGCGTCCATGCCCTTTCAAGCCGATGTTATTCTCTGCTGCCATGAATCAGTCACTACAACAATTCTGAAATTGCTGTAGTAGTTTTCATGCTGCATAATCGTTTTGCGTCCAATACCCTGTCTTCATTTCCAAGAAGTAAGTGCTAGTCAAGATCGAATTTTTCATTTCATATAAATAGCACTGCTCCCAAGAAACAGATCAATACATACGTGGACGAAATTTTGTGTATGATCAGCAATCGTTTCATATCCAATCACTTTAATACTCCGGCATTCAAGAAGCTGTTGACTCAGAAAGGGCGACTGTGGGAGCGACCGCCTCTGACTGTGGTCACCTCCGTCGCTTCCAAACTTCTCTTTGTAAGGAACAGGCTCGGCACGAGATGAGTTGAAATGCAAAAAACGAAATCCCCCTTGAATTTTGCTGATTTTTACGAAGTCCCATTTGACCCTAGACCATGATCTTACGGTCCAACTTCGGATGAGTGTGTGCTAATAGAATGAATTAGAGAAAAGAACAAGCTTCACTGAGGGCAGTTATTGACGAAATCTTTCGCTTTTCAGTGAGTTACAAAAAAAATCATAGCTTTCGGACAATTGATCATATTTTGGCTGATACGGCTGTAGAAAAAAGTGAATATGAAACATTTGCAATATTAAATCCTTCAAAAAAGCACTACAGAAAGCATGATAAAATACAGTAGCTCAATGAATTTTTCATACGGGATGTGAAATTTTCCGAAATAAAGAAAAAATGTGTGCTTATTAATGTAATGTCCCATAGATTTGTTGGCCACGTCAGTGACCGAAGTAATGCCTTGATAATCTACAATAATGTATTTCACAATCCCTGTGGCAATATTAACGCAAATGGGTTACGATCTTTAGTTTCATACCTCAAAAAGAGGCCGACGACAGTATGTTTAAGGAATATACGTGCAACTTATTTGCCGGAAGCACCTCCGAAAGTGCGCTCACGAAATCACGTTTGGTTTATTGAAATTCTACAAAATTTATCTTTTTCGAAATTCCCCTGAACCGGTTAGATCAGATCACCACAATTTTGCAAAACTTTTAAGTGCTCATAAAAGCTTACTCCTATTTTAACTTTCATCACCAAATTTCTGTGTTCTAGGATTGGTTGAAAAAGAAGCAATAGAAAAAACGTTGTGTACAAACTTGTGCTTTCATTTTTTTTCATTTGCTGCAATTTTTTTTTGAATTTCCTGGAACTGTCTTTTCTATATGGGTCGGAGCTACCGCTTCAGCGAGCAAGGTGAGCTGTTCTAGCAGCTACGGTTTCGTGTATAGTTAGGTACTTGCTGTTGAAGTAACCAAAGGGCGTGTCTTAGTGTACACCACTAATGGCTGCTAACACCTGCCCCTCGCGGAGACCCTCTTTACCTGGAGAGATCCGGCTCCCCCTATCGCACCTATACTCCACGGTAAGTATTAGGTCGTTTCATAAGTTCGTCGACTTTTTATTTTTATCGCCGTTTTTCGATGAAGCGGTTGGTTTACGGCAAAGTATCTATACCATTGGAAAGAGAAAATCTTGTTCTACAAGAACTGTTGTTCGTTTTTGGAGCAAACTTGAATCCCCTTCTTTTACGACTTATCAAAGCAAAATTTTTTGAGAGGCAAAAATTGGCGATTGCGGCAACTGCAACTTCGATCCGTATACGGAGCCACAAGTGGGAATTTTTCGTCTGAAGTTGTTATGAGTGATGAGAAACAACTGTTTGTGGTACTACGGTGCATATAAAAGCGGTCTCCATATCCAAAGAGAGGCTATAAAGAAAGATTAAGCGCACGTTTACCATGTGTGTAGATGTTTTGCGTTTGGGACAATTTGAAGAAGTTCCCACGTCAAAAATTTTTTTGAGAAAGCGTAAAATGTTGGTCAGAGCTTGTACTCATACATCTACACCACTTAGAAGAACGCATCTATTCCTCAAGTTCCGATAGGAGGACCGACACATTGTGTCGCTGAACAACGCGCCAAACTCAAGCGGCAGCAGTCAAAGACAACAACCATTGGGACCTTGTTCAAACGGTTCTATGCATATTGGCATGCTGCAAATTTGTCAGTGTTTTAGTCTTGCTTGCTACTATCCACCCCGCCTATCTATGACAGAAACATCTTGCGGAATACGGACCAAATGCGAAAAGTGCAGTTGCCGCAATCGCCAATTTTTGCCTCTCAAAAAATTTTGCTTTGATAAGTCGTAAAAGAAGGGGATTCAAGTTTGCTCCAAAAACGAACAACAGTTCTTGTAAAGCAAGATTTTCTCTTTTCATTGGTATAGGTACTTTGCCGTAAACCAACCGCTTCATCGAAAAACGGCGACAAAAATAAAAAGTCGACGAACTTATGAAACGACCTAATATTTGTAAGCGAGAGACAAATGCTTTTGAGATTATCGAGTCACTCCTTTAACGAATTTGGGTGAAAGTTTTGCGGACGCTGCCTTTAACTACCAGGTATCTGAGCTAAGAGTGTCAGCAACGTGATGTCCTTCAGTGCATCCAGCTCGTTGTTTATCTGGTTCATACAGTCTGGTATGCGTGAAGGGATGGCCATGAGATGCAAGAAGAAGTTTGCGCTCTATGATTTTTCAACGCGTAAGGCAAAGTTCGCTAGCCTCAGTTCGGTTTCACAAGCGTAACGCAATGGAATTTTTGCGATTACAAACTTGCTCAGTCACCGCGCTTCAAACCTCTTCTTCTCTCCCTCATTATTCTTCTGAACGCTGCTTCAGTAGTTTCTACTCCATGGCACATGCGTACCATTCAAAAGTCTTGAACGGCCCTACTAATGCTGTCAAGGCATTGCACTTCACTTGCTACTGCACTATTTGGAGTGGTTGTGAGCCGTTGACGATTTCATGGCACTCGACGAACTTTACAAATTAAGGACCACTAATTCACATTTTATCAGATTCACTTGGTGTGTATGGTATTTTCGCAGGAACGATTGATGGCATCTCATTTTATGGCAACATTCTTGTTAACTGTGAGCTTCAACGCCTTCAAACAAAACATCAGTGACCTTCCACTCGGTAGTGGATCTTTGTACCAACTGGAAGTTGTTGTTTGAAAAAGTATGGGTGAGTACTTGAATTATTTCTGCAGACCACGGGATGATCTTCGGGATTTTCAATACTGCAATGAACTTTAGCATACAGCCTGCCCAGTCGGGAACAAGCCGAACCGACGGCTGAATTGGGAGCGCTCGCAGCCTCCGTACAAACTGTTCTTCTAATAAATTTGTGATGTCCTGGAGGACCGTCCACTTCCCTAAGATTTGTTTCATCAACTTTAATGCGCTTACAACAAGCAGGCCTAAGTAAATGAGCGGCTGTAGAGAGAAATGGTGATGCTTCTGAAATTCACGTAAACTTTTATGTTCAAGAAAAATCAAACTTCATTTCACGCTGGATGGGGAGCTTCCTTCTCTAAAAGGTGCTGTGAGATACACAATCGTAGAAAGTATGCATCTATGAGGAAACCAAAATTTATGGTATAAGGCCTGTATGTATGTATAGTGTAAGTTTTTTCGGAATCTACAGGTAAAGCGCGCATAAGACTGGCTTCAGAGATGATAAAATCAACGGTGCTGCCGCCATGGTACTCTGTAATCTCCCACTGCTTTCAGCGCAAAATATCATCATTGAGGATTTTATGCGCATGTTATACTACAAAACACCCTCAATTAACATATTTAATGTGATGTCAATCATTTATGCCTCCCCTTGTTCTCATAGCTCCAACATCCAAATTTCCATAGAGTAATTCGAATCAGTGATGCCCAGCGTGATATCATGAATGCGATGAAAATTATGAGACATAAAAATTGGAAATTTAAGTACGAAACCGTTTTTCCAAACTTTTGAAGACGGTCTTGCAGTTTCCTCCCAAAGTTGATCTTAAATGGTTTGTAAGTGATCTACAAAACATCGATAACTGCACAATGCGTTGGCAATACTCAAACAAGGCATGATCTTTTCCCACATACTTTACGCTTTATTGCCTCCTTTACCAGCTGCGATGTTTCTCCATCAAAGAATTCAGTTTTTCTTTTCCCGTCAGGTCAACCTTTTTAGTCGATAGGCATTTCCACTTTTTCTCACACCGTTGGAACGACTAGTATGTTGTTCTTCAACCAAGGAGATACATCAAGGCGCTCTGAAGAGGATAGCCGTCAGAACGCATTTTTCAGCACATTCCATGTGCGGGTAAGCAATCGGATCCACTTTTTTCTCAAATTTCTGGTGATGAATTGCTAAAGGAGGTGCAGTGAATGCTTATAAGGACTATCCAGAGCTTGGGTTGGAATAGTGTAGAAAGAGATTGTCCTTAGAACTTGCTAAGAAATTGTCGCAAGCTTGGATATTACATACAACCAAGTTTTCTAAAAATGGCTATAACTCTTTTCTTCCAGCAAAAGCAAAGAACTTTCGCAGTAGGGCTCCCTGATGTCATAGGAGGAGTTATGTTTTAGTAAACGTGCATAAGTTCAGCCGTCTAACCAGCCTTACAAAAGTAGCACTTTAGCAAACTGTGATAAAAGGTAAAGATGCAACTAAAACTAGTTTTCAGAATGCAGAGGTTTTTATGTAACTACGTACTACCATTACTCGCTTAGCATGTAGGCCTTTGCAAAAATCACTCAAGTTTTCTAGTTAATGTGTGGTTCCTACTTATGTTACATTGTGACGTTAGTACCTGAAAACAATGAAAATGAAATTCAATGAAGACATAAAAAGTCCGAATTTTTATAAACAATCTTGAAAAGTTCAGGAGGCGCATCTAGAAACTCTAAAGGTTAGCTTCATTTCTAGCAGTGAGGCAAAATCCGCCAAGTTTTTTCAAGAGAAAAAAAAACAGGCATTAATGCAGTTCACGGATCACTATGGATTTTTGCCAATAAAACTAATTAACTTTCTTTTCCTGGCCATCGTGCTAATTGGTGATGTTTGAGATGGCATTAACGTGATCATTTACGGCCGAAATCGTAAAACATGCGTCTCAGAGTTTTGATTCGCTTAGCGCCTTGACAAGACGTCCAGCATGTTTTCTTTTCTTGTTCGGATAATTTATCCAACGCCAGTTGTGTAATGGCAATTTTCTTCTTGTTCATAATATAAACTCACCTGACATAAAGCCAAGTAGGCGGCACTCTTCCCAGAACCTTTTCACATCTAACAAGGAGGAAATCTATGCACTGCACAAGAAAAGGAAAAGCATATTTGTTGCCAAACTAATAATCAACTGGAAAGTGATTGACTTTCTCTTTTAGATCTCGATAGCATGCCTATTGGTACTGTTTTGGCTGATTTGGATTACCACAGTAACCTTGATGATTCTTACATACGACATTTGGGTGAGCGTATATTGATAAGTGATGAGCCTTCCAAAGTCGCTGGTGGTCATTAGCGTTCCAATCTGTGGGTGTAGTTCCCAAAATTCTAATATTTAGACTTCAGTCACTCGACTCATGTTGGAAATGGATTGAATGCTCCGTATACTCTGTCTTAATCGCAGTGCATGGTCTCGTTCTGCTGGTGGGAACGGTTGGGTACTTCCACAACTCTACAACCTTATGCAGTGCGCTAGTGATCCCTCTTGTGAGTTTACTGATAGAAGTACGATACTAGTTATAAAACTGCAAATGCTGATTTTGAAATCTTACTATCTACAAATTCAGATGCCGTTATTGTACTGCCGAATTATGCTTTGACTAACCTCATCATTATAAGTACATTAGAGCATTTGGCGTCAAAGTCGTGAATTTCGTTATGACCCAATCTATGGGGTCAATCGAGATGCTGATCACGAATTTCACACTCTTGCACAAAAATGCACTCGATGGGGGTGGGGGTCAAAATAACGAATTTGGCTGAACTTAGGTCTACGAGGGTTTCTGACGTGCTGATCACGAATATCAAGCTATTCCTGCATGCTGCGGCCTCTTCATGGAGTTACATTAGGTATACATGAAAAAACCACGATTTTGCTCTAAACTTCGCCTAGGGTGTTATTTAGCCCGCTGAAGTGAATATCATGTTAATTTCTCAAAAAAGCGCCATTTTTGTGGATTACGGCGGGTGTACGGTAGATAGGTCGAAGTTCCAAATTTGTTCAAAACTTTGCCTAAAAGGTTTTTGAGCATGGGTTACGAACATCATGCTTGCTCGCTGCAATCACGCTTCATTGTGGAGTTACGGTAGTTTGCAGCTTATGTAGAAATTTCTTCGCGTTTCGGACATTTAGGACGGAAATCCACGTACCTTTACCATGGGGGAATGACCACGATCGCAAGTCGGATAGCCCCCTCACACATTTTCAAGCAGTTGATTTTGCCCCTTGCCGTAACTCCGCAAAATATTTCTAAAACACAAGGAGAGTATGATATTCGTGTTCAGCATATGGAATAACCCCTCTAGACCGAATTGAAGCCAAATTTGAGATTTTGACCACTCTTCTGTAAGCCTATCGTAACTTCACGAAAAGGCCCCAAAACGAAGAAAGAGTATGATATTAGTGATCTGCATGCCAAATAACACCTAGGCCAAACTTACCGGAATCCGTGGTTTTGACTTTTCTGTAACCCCGAAAACGGCCTACCTCGCAATACTAATATGATATTCGGCAGCAGCTGGTCGGGTGAACTCCTTAGACCGAGTTTGAGCAAAATTCACGTTTTTAAAAATTTCCAGGGTACTGAAATAGCGCTGAGCATTCAAAAGTTGCAGAGCAGCTTGTAAATGGCTGAAAATGCCATAGCTTTGACCCAAAAGCTTATGCTTAAATCCGTCTCCAGATGAGGTCGTAGATTCTTGAATTCCAACTTCGAAACTACTGAAAATTTGCATAAGTCCACCTTTTCGGAAATTTCGATTCTACCTCAAAATGCTTATTTCTGCAGAATTGAGAAGATGAAGTTTTGTGCGCATCAATCAAAATCTAAGCTCTTTAGATCATGTACAAGATGTTAGCCAAACTACATAATATGTTTCTGTTTTCGTTTCAGATTTGGCACATTTAGCCCTTTCCATCAATGAACTTCGGGTATTTTTTGAATAACATTTGAAATGCTCTTCTATAGTTTTACAAACAATATTCAAACCTGTGTCCTAGTTTTGTACAAACCGCATGAGTTTATGTTGAAAATCAAGCATATGGTGGACTTATGCCTAACAATAAGTTCTGCAGTGTTTACTAGCCTACACATCGGTCGAGAACTGTGTAGAAGCTTTTCCAAATCCTTTTAAAAAATCTACGCATAAGACAGAAATGCTGAAGACAGCAGCTGCGCTTTGATGTTCTACGGCGGTGACCATGACCGAATTTTTTTTTTTACTAGACATGAATTTGGTTAATAGTTTGTACATCATCGAAGCTTTCCAAAGCCTTTGACTCATGCACACAAAGCTTCATCATCTTACGGTTCAGAAAGCAGTATTGAGGTAAAGTGAAATTTTTTGGAGGCGAATCCTGCAGGTGTTTTGGCAACACTGTAAGACGTAGAAGGCCGCATATTCTCAAACAATCTTGCATTCACTTTATCTTAATTCAACATAAAATCTTTTTGTCTAAACTGCGTGCATATATAACACTCTGATTTACTATAAGATTGGCAAGAAAACATTATATGGAAGTATGCATAGTACTACGACGAAGTAATGAAATTCTTTAGCTTTCAGGAATAAAAATCAAGCATTGGAACACATATTAGAACCTGATTTGGAAATGGTTCAGTGCAAAATGAATAAAGTGCCAAATGTTGCTCAGTGTGGTTCGAAAGCATAGTTATAAAAGTAATGAGTCCTATATTTCCACTGCTTAACAGCTTGATACTAGTGAAGAACCTCTAACTTGCCAAAAACCATTCAGCCACCTTGGATTTAGATCACCTTAATTGCAGAACAGTAGAATCTTGCACTTTAGACCCATTAATTTACTCGAAAAGTTGGCACTTTCACAAATTGCCCTAACAGCATGATACCGATATGTTCGAGCCACATTTCACATACTTATTGTTTTGATTTACATATTTATGTATTCGGAAGTTGTACTCGCGTTCATAAAATGTGGGTGATTCAGTATGGTCACCATAAAATTATAGCCCTACTAATTATGAACTGATGATGTCATAAGCTCGAGAAAACTTTATTGCACACTGACGAAGCTTTCAATCAGACATAAGTGACAAACAAATCATGTCTCATCCCTCGCTCGTTTGCAGCCGAAAATCACAGACTATTTGCAGATGAGTTGGGCTGGAGCCGTTAGTGGTGTAGTAATCGAATTCTGGTATAATCACGGCAACTGGGATTTAGAATACTGTAAGTATTTCACAATTCCTTTGAAAATTATGCACAATAGTAGTTTCTGCTTTCTTTCTCTACGATTCCTAACGTTTAGCATTGAGAATTCGGAATCTTCCATTCTTTTTGGAGATAATGCCTAGTTTTCTGCCCCTATTCTCAAAAGTCATAGCTGCAGTTGCTAATGGCAAGAAGCACGGCTTTTTTCCAATTTCATAATTTGAGCCACAGTAAAACAGGTTTTTACGACGGATACCAAGAAGTGAAAGACGTCATTTAAGCACAAAAAAAAGTCGAAAGAAGCACTTGACTTTCTTCACAAGCACATTGACCATAACCACTTAATTTTCCCTTATTTGAGTTATTGATAGATAAACCAAGTAAAACTCATGACTGCACTTTTTTCTTGGACTTCTTAAAAATTCTTTCAGGTCTCACATCCCCAACAGTTCCTGGTTTTCTCTCCATATGGGTCTTTGCCGGATATGCAGTTATAATCATCACAAAGTATTGTGATTATCTGAAAACGCTACTCAAGTTGAAAAGACGTACGGGTTTCAATGTGGACGTGAGTCATTACTAAAGAAATATGATGAACTATCTTGCATCGAAGAATGCCTTTTAGGTTTTCAAAGAGCGGGTCTTCGGGACCCCACCAATAAAATGGTTTATTCGTAGCGAGCAGCCCCGTTGTGCAGATTTGTCAGATTCCAATATTGATGACATCTTCGCTGACTATGAGCCCGATGTTGCCCTCTACTAAACACAACTTGGTTCTTCTCGTCAGCCTCGCAGGGCACAATCATGATTTCATCTAGTTATCTACATATCACTTGCCTGTGCTTGTCTATGTGCTTTTTTCAACGAGATTTTTCAAATGCCGATAAGCTTGATTCTCACGTTTCAGTCTCTTCCATTTGGGTAAAATTTCTACAATTCTAATCACGGATAGAAAGTGGTACATACTTATTCTGATTTGAATCCCACGTTTACTCTATCCAAAACTCGTTTTATAAACTTTCCGAGCGCTCTTAATTAAGAAATTCAATCTAAAAGCTTGAATATTTTTTATTTCTGCATGATTTCTTTACCTACTGTTTTTCTAGTTAGAACAGTCCCAACGCTTCTTCCTTTAAATATTTATATAAATCTGAGCTGTACCCAGAATGTCAACAGGACTGTCCTTAGTGAAAAGCTGATGCATGAGTTTATTACCTAGAGAACTGAATTTCCAGTGGAAATGTGGGGTTAGTTAGCTGAGTCAACTGTTCATTAATCGTATCACACACAAAAGATCACCATCATAGAACGTTTGTTTGTTAATAAGTTGTGAAATACAAAGATTCTACATTCAATCTCTCCGGTGTTTTAGTTTAGATTAGTCTAATGGCTTGTTAAAAGTAGTTCCAGAAACATAATCTCTCTACTGTGCTATTTTATTAGGTTGAATCGAAAGTTCTTTCCCCTCATTTTCAAAAATTCATACCTTGTTTGAGTTCTCAACGAATCTGCCAGACCTAATTTTTGTATAAGAGAGGAACTCATGCTCTTTGCAACTGCTTGAACTATTCGTCAATGTATACAAATGAAGGAGATAGAAGCTCAAAACCAAAAACACTCAAAATTTGAATTTTATCGGAAACTTGCAACAAAAATCGGAGCAGTCGATATTGTAGGTTCTTTTATCCGCTCTTTCTAACAGTGCAAAGTTTGCGCCGATTGAGCATCTCCGTGAAAAGCTATGAATTTCCTGAAAAATGCCAAAATAAATCAAATTCGCCCTTTTGTACCGCTTGCTCGAAAATCATAACTTTTCATAGAGACGCTCAATCGGCGCAAACTTTGCACTGCTGGAAAGAGCTTGTAAAAAAACCTACAATACTGACTGCTCCGATTTTTGTTGCAAGTTTCCGATTTTTTAGGACCCTACACGAAAAATTCAAATTTTGAGTAATTTTGGTTTTGAGCTTCTATCTCCTTCATTTGTACACATTAAAGAACAGTTCAAGTACAGCTGCAAAGAGCATGAGTTCCTCTCTTATGCAAAAATTAGATCTTGCAGATTCGTTGAGAACCAACAAGGTATGAATTTTTGAAAATGGGGGAAAGAACTTTCGGTTCATCCTAATATATAGATCAGTACTGCATTATGATCTCATCCATGGCTTTCACTATCTTATTTGGCATAATGTCAAACCATCGGAAATTTTTCTGATGCACATGATGTTAAAACATGATGCGAATGTGCACGGTAACCACTCACGATTCAAAAGTAGTTTAAGTTTTGGTTGTGGATCTAAAACGGCCAGAAAGTCATTACCGAGATGTGAGAACATTGGTATTTTCGCTATCGCATCCAACTTTGCGAAAAATTTATGATACTCCGTTCGATCCATAGGTCAATCCATAATCGATGTACCTCTGGCGGTTGCTGCAGCCGGCGGTGTGATCTCCGCCACCAATGTTACGGTATTGGAGGTGTGTCTTAGCCCAATTTCTTTTAAACATAGAATTAATCCAGTGCGGGAAGATGTTAGTTTGAGATAAATAGACACATATTTGTCAGCGGTTTGGAGCTTGTCAAAACCTTTTTGCACAAAATCGAGTAATTTACCGACCATCCTTCATGAAACGAATAATTCGATTGGTCTGACATAAGCAAGACGATAATAAAACTGTGTTGATAATGCTAGTGATGCCCATTTACTGTGACTTGGAATAACTGTTTGAATGGGTGTTTCACTTTATGCATTGCACTCACATCCATTGGCATAACCACTCATTAGCTTATAAGTATTTGTTAGTGTTCCTGCACACATTCGTCTTTTTTTCAACTCTTATTGACGTATTTGTAAGTAAAAGATGAGAAGCTTGACAATGTTGTGCTAATGTCGAGCTTGCAGTACTCTGTAATGGATGGTAATTCACCGCAAGACATCCAAAAGGAACAATCAAAGGTAGAAGAGCAACAAGCACCAGCACTGCCACCAAAGGAAGACCAACCCAAGTCAGATTCAGGGAAAATCAGAGGTTAGCCGCCAAAAGGTTAACATGAAGGATTGAACTTTGTTGTTAGGGATAGCAGAAACATCAATTCAATTGCCGCAACGAACGCTACTAAATAAGGATGAATTGGAGCAACCAGAGAAAGAAACAAGCCGAAAAGCTTCAGAATCTGCAAAGGATAAGCCGTCAAGTCCAGAAGAGGCAAGCTGCTCAGACATTCGGATCTGAGGTATCGCAGCAAGTTGAGGAAAGTTTGGAGTTCTCTATTCCGGCGTTCCCTTCACTCTGCGATACCTTCTCAAATAATTGCTGCGGAAAATAGAAGTTGTAGTTTTGTGGGACCCCAAAACCTTATTGCAAATAGCTTACAAGGGAATGGTCAGAAGTCGAAGTGGCCAAACCAGAAAAGCTGTATATCATTCGATGCAGTATAAAACGCTGACTTCGAATCTGTCTTCTTTATCTGCTTCCCGCTTCTGTGGACGAAGCTACAAGCGGTTTTATTGCGAAAAATCATACACAAAAACATCTAAATTGACCACATTGTTGCGCTTTTAGCTCAGCTTCTGGCTTCAAAAATTTTAAGTAAGCTAGCGGCATGTTTTGGCCCAGCATTGAAGCGAACGTGGCTCTTACGGCTAAATTTTCAATTTCACGCATAATTTCTTAGCAAAATAATGGTTTTTGATGGCTTATAGCTTCGTCCAGAAAAGCGATAAGCAGGTAAGGAGGACAGATTTAGAGTCAGCTTCATGCTGCATCTAATGGTATGCAGCTTGTCTGGAATGGCCACTTCGAATTCTGACCATTCCCTTGTTAGTTACAAAAAAATCACCTAAAGTCACTCATAACCTTAAAAACTTAAACTTAAACTGGCTCTAGACACCTGAACACTTCTTGAAGGTGAGAAGCGTGATGGACAATTTTATTCACTAGCTGTATTCCGAGCCCCTTAGGCCTTGAGCAGAGCTCACGCATTTTCATCGCCACGATTCACCCAACAAGACAAACAGTCTACGAGTCTAATGCGATCATCTTGCATTTCGGTTGTGATAGTTCTCCAACACGACCAATCGTGACTATCTATCACAAACCAAATGCAAGCTGACCAGAATGCAATGGACTCGTAATTGTCTTGTTGAAAGACTTTGTCCGAGGACTCATCCGGGGCACTGTTTGAACTAACGCAACTGCTTTGCAAACTGAGCAGGCCACTGCTACAGCCTTGCACCGCATTCTTTACCACGAAATGAAAATGACCCCCTCCCGGCCCATGTTTATTTTATTTATTTTATTTATATAATACACAAGAGTGTGCCACAAGGAAGAACAAAAAAAAACGAAAAAAAAAAGAACACAGGGTGGGATTGGATCACTTCGTCCCTTGCTGGATGATTAAGGTCGCTCTCCATCTCCAAGAAGTGAGTGGAACTCCACCGAAATCCTTTTCCCTTACCCGAACGCAGAGGAATGTAAGCAATCACCAGGGCTTGGCTGACCAACTTAACCCCAGACGGACGAATCCGCCGGGGACCCTGGGCGAGCGAGAAGGGGGGATCTCAAGGCAGAGTGCTCACTGGTCTTCGATCTCCTCAAACGGCTGTCCAAGCTAGGAGAAAGTGTTGCGAGTGTTGTTAGCAAATGATACGAATTCATTTTCAACTAGCCGGCAACGGCTTCGCTTGGCCTTTAACCACCTTTCGTCATTAATAATTTCGTAATCAGCATGCTCACTAAACCCTTGTGCCTCCCAGCCCGTAGCTGAAACCTTTAAATCAGTATAAAATCGGTATCGATGATGACGAAAAGTAACCCATATATGACACCCTTCCCGCCTCGTAGTGTATGTGTGCAGAGTTTGGTCCGCATCGGTTGAAAAATAAAATTTTCTATCAACACACGTAAGACAGACACACAAACAGACACTCAGCTTTATATACAAGGTGCAAATTGCCAAGAATCGGTAAATCGATTGAAGGACCCTGCGAACCGCTGTAAAAAGCGTTCAAGGTACATTGCCGGGATCGAAAACAAGTGTGCAAAGTTTACCGCATGTCGGTTTGGTGGCGCATTTCTATAACGAACGAGAAAACGAACACACAAATTGTGAGTTTACTTATTAGGCTGGAAACTGAGTTTTGCAACTTCTTTCATAATTTTACTCTTTTTTGGATGCGGCGCACTCAATCTTTGGCAATACAGAGCGTAGTGTGTGCTGCAACTGCGCACAAACTTTTGAATTTCTAGGCATTTGTCGAAAACTAGAGTGAATTTTGGGAAATTTTTGAAGTTATAGGCCAATATGAAGCCGTTAGCAGCCTAGACTATGCGCAATAATAGGAATCGTCTACGAATTGTTGTTAGAAAATGACTCATTTGGCTCATTAAGAAAAAAACAAAACTTAAGAGCATGTTGAAATTTGGCACCCTCGCAAAATTGAATGAGTACGCATGCTGTACGCAAGGCTGCTGGGACAACCGTCAGTGACTAAGGAGTCAGAAACTCAAATTTCACCGAATCTTCACAAAATATGGTTATTTGATCAGCCAAACACGAAAAGCATATCCATTTGTTATCAACTCCTCTCTCTTTTTAAACCTACAGTAATCCTAAACCCTTTTCACACAACTTCAATACTGTTTTCGTTATCGGCATGTCAGATAACCCCATATGCCAAATTTCAGCCAATCTGTCAAATTTCATATTTTTTCCCTTATACCTAGACCTACCGTAAACCGTATTGTCAGAACTTGGCAGAACAGCGGCTGCTCTTGCTGCTCGTCATAAACTACACAGTGACAAAATTTGAGTGCGCCATGTTGAGAGAGAGGAAAGTAATTGAATGAGTTGCAAAATTTGATTTCCATCTTAATGGTGTCTAAAAATAAGTGCACACTTTTTCACCGTTAATAGCTTTCTTCACAAAGTTTTTTGCTTAGGCTTAGGTACCATTCGTAGGGCAGGCTTCAAAACTTAGATTTACAGTCTGGAGCGAACCATCCATCTCTCCTCATTACCGTAGAATTACAGTACAAACGGTTTTGAGCCATCGAGGTCCTCAGCTCGCCTCAGAAAGCAGTAGAAACAACTAGAAAATTTCCACACTAGGCTATTCAGAGCTGCTGACGCTGAGTAAGAGCTTTGCACTCTACCGCAATACTTCGTTCATAACTTAAGCCAAGTGAATCGCAATAGGTGCCTTAACAGCGCTCTTTAGAACAATGATTGCGCCCTTCAAAAAGCTCCACAAACTTGTGAGAGCCAAGTAATGAAATCAGTGCGCGTGAAAACTCTGGTACGCAACTTTTCAAGATTTTTTTGAAGCACATTCAGTACACAATGAAGTTATAAGCTGAAAGTTTCTACCGTTATTCTACAGTAAGCGAGAGGATATGTAGTTTGTTACATACGGCTAATCTAAGTTGAAGCCCGCTCTATCGAAGGGTACTCGAAACTAAACAAAAGACTTTGTGGAAAGAGAGTTACTAGCAGTTAAAAAGTGTGTACTTATTTTTAGGACACCCTGTACATATAACCTATGGTATTAGGATGAGTACTGCATGTTAATAGGCATGATGGTAAGGCAATCGGGTATCGGTCATTAGGTTGAGAGACTAAGTGACATAGGTGGGTAAAAATGAGGAAATGAGAAGAGGTAGGCACACAGTATAAACAAAGGCAATCAATAAATGATGAGAACGAAATGGGAAAAAGCTCCACGATAAGAGGAGTTTTGAATTAAAAGTGTCTTCACTTTTTTATATGATTAGAAATTTCCACTCGTTTTGTTGTGAGAAAAAGAATCAAACAGGTCGAATTGAGATGAAGTCGTCGATAACATAAATGAGATAGAAAAACAGGAGTAATCACTTCTCATATAAAACAATCCCACAACAACAAAAACAAAAGCGCAATTAGAGAAGATAATGAAAAAGAAACAAGATTTGAGGCAAAGATTAGTTACCAGAAGAATAATGAATCCTTCACCAGATTACAGCTAGATGAAAGTGATAAGAACGAATGTCGGAAGTTAGCAAGCTGAGGGGTTCATTTTCCTTGGGTGCAGAGGACCTGTAGAACGAGATACAGCAAGACAAAGAAAATAATCACAAAGGAAGAGCTCATCGGATGGAGATAAATGAATGATAAAGATTGGAAGTTGGAAAAAGACGATTCAAATTTCTTGTAATATTGCTTTCTAAGCTTCCGTTAGCATCCTGTCCTTATTTTTTTTTGAACCATTCTCAAAAACAAGGGCGATCTTCTCGCCCTTACTTTTCTGGACGTAACCAATGGTGTTCCGAAGTACTAAAACATGAAAAAAACAGCATTTTAGTAGGGAAAACGCGTCTTTTTAAAATAGAAATGGTAGTATATGTTTTGTTTGAACGCAATACAAAGTCATCGAAACAAGATGCAGGGACGAATGAAGTGGTTACGATGCGCATACATCCTTTTTCACTAAATCAACGGACTAAATATTTATATCAGCTATTCCGCCATTCAAATCCCAAAATCTAAAGCATGAGTTTTGCTTAAATTTCGTCCTTGGCCGTTAGCACCCCTCTCGCAAAAAACGCGTGACTAGTATGGGTATACGAGGGAGTCGGAACCAAGATTCGGCTCAGCAAATAGCCACCATGTTGCCATAGTTGTTGCATTTTAGACCGGGAACCAAATTGACTGCCATTTGATTCCAGTGTCTCGTTATCACATAAAGTGATGCCAGTTTTACTTTACCGTACAAAATTGAAGCCACACTTTATTTCAAAATTCTAGAGAATTCCTGACCACTTTCTCGAGCAGAGACTTGATAGCTTCACATATAAAGTGAGTAAGAATGATCACTCTATGGATACTGCAAGAAATTCTTCTTAAAATTGGCTCAAAGGAGGGTTATGGAAAAATGAAAGCTTCAGAGCACAACCACCTACATTCATATCGCAACCGAGCGGAAAATATGGGTCGTTGAACAAAACGAGTTTTTTTTTCTGAAACCTCATAGTCAACAGAACAACTTCCTTCAAATTAGTTAGCAGAAATGATGAGGCCTATCTTGTAGCCGCAAACCAGTAGTACAAAAGAAGACTAAAAGGACTTTTACAAAGAAATGCGGAAAGAAAAACTCTAGATTCAAAATTCAGCTTTTTTGAACTTTCGGCACGCCTTAAAGTTCCAATTTACGAAGTTTATTAAGCTATACAGCCAAACAATTTTGCAAAAATGTCGACAGGAGGGCTACCCTAACGATTACAAAAATGAGCAAAGCTTTGACTACTGTCTTTTTCATAAATTTATGAACCAAAGAATGAAATGCGACTTTCTATGTTGAACACCGATATCTCAGTCTAGATAATTTCCCAAAAAATAAAGTGACTGCAATGAAATTCTGGTTTCGAGTGCGGTTATTTGGAGTAGTGTAAATTTTCAACAAGGCTAGAAGCTCGTTTCATTCAGCATCAGATAAACATGGAAAGAGCTTCTTGATAGTATGCTAAGCATTTGCGAGGAAAAAATTTTGACGAAAAAGAATTGTTCTGTAACAGAGTTTAAAGAAACGTCCATTATTTTGCGTCAGCCCAATAGTTCGTGTGGAGGTTTCGCTAGAGAGCCCCATTTAAAGCAGTTATCAATCCATACTATTATATAAAGCGCTAGCACCCCCATGTGAGTCAGCATGGTGTGTGTATGTTCCGGTGTTGTTTACCACTAATGGCAACGCGCCCGGCGGCCAAGATGAGTCGCGCTGATGACGTCATACAATGCTGCCTCCAGAGTTTTCGGTCATGTTCTCTAGCGTGTTTATGAGTTGGCAGCAAAAGCAGCGAAATCAACACCACTTGAACTGGCTGAATTGATTAAGCTGTTCCACTGACTGTAATAGCCTCATTTCGAAAATCATCAAGGGTTGGCCAAATCGTTTGTACATTATCTCAACACCATTACGTTCTTTTTTTACATCTCGCTTCTCTATTTCTATTATGGAGCGTTTGATTTGGAGAGGAGCATAAGTTTTTCGGAAAAGTTAGGTATTTAATATACTGCCTTCCATAGTCCGTTTCTCTAGTGCTTAGTACGTTTCCTCACCGTAAGAGCTGCGCCAAATCTTCAATTATTCTGTCCTTCTAATTTTTCTGTTAACGTATCTCAGCAAGAAGAAGTTCTCCGTGAAGTGCTTAGTGAATGTTATTATTCCAGGTAAACTGCACTAAATCTGTTTTTGGAGGGTTCTCGCAAACTTTGCTCGGGACAATCTTTGTCTACGATTTTTTATGAATAAGCACTTTGTTTAAAATACCTACACCACAGGCTCTTTAGACTTTCTTCTTCTCAATTCACATGCAAAGATGTTTGTCAAAGTTGATGAACTTCGAAATTTTTGGACTCCATTGAGTTGACATCCCAATACTGTGTGAACCTTTCATATAGTTGCCAACAACTGTACCACTATTTTTCCAAACGAATACAGCGTGGTCATGCAAATTGTCTTAAGACTCGATGAAAGCTGGATGCAAAAACCTTCTTCAGCTGGGAAAAGTAAACTCTAAAGAACACTTTCAACTTCCCGAGTTTTCCTTCAAACATTAAAAATTCGAAGAGTAAAATAAAAGAATGTCAATGCGATCGCGTTTGATATATTAGGACTAAATGCTGTATTAATCTACCTTTAGTATCTCAGCTAAACGAGACAAGGTGGCATGCAAGTTAGCTTTACGTAAACTAAAGCTTTACTAACGTACAGCGCAGCTTTGCCAGAATATTGCACATCCTCAAAATTGTGTAAGAAACGAGATCTGCCTAGGTGAGCAGCTAGAAGCATGGACACCTTTAAGTAGGTTCCTTCAAGAATTTGAGCTTGCTCAATAAGATGACCTGAAAAATGATCGATTTTGGAGCCCACGTATGAATTGCAAGGATGCTGGATATTTTGGAAACCTCATAAAACACGAACGAGAGTTTCTTGAAATGGAAGAGAAATTATGACGCTCTTAAAAAGAATACTTCTGAAAAGAAAAAGGGAGTGTTCGAATTTGAAAAGCTCTAGATTTGGTAGTTCCAATGTTGGCTATATATTTTCAAGAATAACAATTCGAATTTTCTTGCTAGTTTAATTTCGGGAAGAGATGAAAGTAGTCTGATTGAAGCTTCTGGGGGGGGGGGGGGGAGAGGGGGTTCTAAGGCAGTTTGGAGGGTCAAATGTGGGAAACAGGGCCCCGGGTGGGAAGAGTGCACATGGCTGGGATTACTTTATCGGGTTTGGGACGGGCGCTTCAATCACAAAATTTTTTTTGCGCTACGTTTTTTGACGTGTAAAAGTTTGAGAGCATCCGAGAAACTTCGCAGCGTGGAGAACTCAGGCTAAGCCTGCTAAATCGTGATCAGACTGAACATTTGAATAAGCAGATTTGGGAGCAACTTTCGAAGCGTGAGTCAGAACGGCCTCCTACGACTAATGCCCTCAGAACTGAAGAGTGTGAGAATGCGAGAAGAGATTGGTACTTCAGTAAAGTTGATTAAGAAGTTACTGGGTAAAAATGAGTTGAGGGGAGGGAAACCTTGAAAGACTGGGATAGCAAAACGCAAGATTATACAAGATTCGAGCATATGTGAATTAAGGATCTGTAAATTCGTGTCTCTGGATAAAGGAAGTGGGTGCGGTTAGAAAAAGCTGGGAAGGGAGCATACATAATTCTGTTGCCAATTTCATGAGAAAATTTCCGAAACTTTCGAAAGCAGGAAAGATCCGTTACTTTGATAACTTCTGGGCTCATTACGTGTTCAAATCCATGCCATACTTTTGGAGAGGAAAAGGTTCGCTACAAATCCTCAAAGGTTCTAACTTTCAGTCACATTCCCACTTCACATACACAGCCAGTCCAAAGCGCCGCGAAGCGGCGCTTTGGACTGGTACTATATATAAAGCGCAAGCACCCCCATCTGACGTCATCGCGCTCGCCAAAGGTGTAAACATCCGACCATCGTTCTGTGCCGGTGCGAGCGTACCGAGCTGATGACTCACAATGGTAGTGATGCCTGTCTTAGACGATGTTGATCAAGCGGCATGACCAAAAAAGTGCAATCATAGACAAGCCAATCTTTCGTATAGTTCGAATTTACAAAAGCAACTAGACCTCGATTACATCGGAACAGATTAGTTACAATTTCTCTTAAACCTCCACATTTCTTCACTATTACTAGATTGCAAACCTAGATTCAAAATTCCATGAATGAAAAATTTACACATTCTTTTGTCCCACAACTGTTCAAGAAGCGCCTTATTAGAATGATTCATGAATAATAGTTCAATTCCAAAAGCTCTATAAGTTCGAACAGAAAATTGCATCGAATCCGTTTTTGGAAAGTTTGTTTTTCATTCCTTTGATTTACGCACGAACTCCTTTATGCCCGCCATATGAATAGCATTTTCTCTGTTCCAAGTGTCGCCGAAATGCTAGAAGATCAATTTTGGTTTTTTTTGATAACTCAAGCTTATCTCTTTCTACACTGAGCGTATAATTTGTAATGCACCATAAGTTTTTCAAAACTTCAGATACTTCAGCAAAATATCGCGGTTTCCCATATTTCATTTCTTGAGTGCTCGATATGTTCCCTCACCCGAAAATAGTTGGCCATATCTTTATTCGAAGGATTTATTCTGCCTTCTAATTTTTCTTCTTAACATATACAGCAAGAAAATTGAAGTTGCGAAGAGCCGAAGAGTGCATTTTAGTCCACCATAGTTATCACTTTGCCCCTCAAATATATTTTTAAAAAATTCGCGCTTTTTAAAGCCGCCTTGCTTACATGTTTTTGTACTGATTTGGTGGGTAATTTTCCTACAAACAAGTGTGAAAATTTTTCTAAAAGTTCTCTGATAATGCATTTTCGAAAAAGCTCTTAACAGTCTATCCAGAACAGCTTTTAAGTGCTATATGCACCTCAAATGTGAATATCGCACAGCCTCAAAATTGTATAAGGAGCGGAGGTTTAGGAGAGCAGCTAGAAGCATAAATACCTTTGAGTAGGTTTCTTCAAGAATTTGAATCAGTAGCTTGCTATCAATAAGATAACCTGAAAATTAAGTAGATTGAACACCTATGGATGTTGCAAGGACAAGGTTGGACAGTATAAAAAGTCTTTTGAAACGCGATTGGTAAAATCTCTTGAAGTAGAAGAGGAATTGCGACGCTTCCCAAAGGATACTTTGTGGGAAGAAGGAGGGAACGAAGCGTTTGAATTTGGGAAACTTTAGATTTGATAGTTTGGATGTTGGCTAAATATTTTCAAGAATGTTAATTCGAATTTACTCGCTAATTTAGTTTGAAAAAGATAAGAGTAGTATGAGCAAGAACTTTTGGGGGAGGGGAGGTTCTAAGGTAGTCATTCAGTGGGGAAACAGAGTCCCGGGTAGGAAGAGTGCACGTGGCTGGCTTTGTCGGGTGTGGGACGAGTGCTTGCTTCTGGGTGAAAAAAAGCTGAGAGTAGGGGGGGGGGGGAGGGGAGGGGAGGGGAGGGGGAGAAGGGGGGTGGCGGATTTGGATAGCAAAACGCTATACAACGAGTAACTGCAGAGCAAAGGAAGGAGCGATGCGGCTAGGAGAAGTTGGGAGGGGCAGTCATAATTCTGTTGCTACTTTTGATGAAAAATTTCTCGAAATTTTGACGCAGGACAAATCCATGAATTGGTAAGCTTTGAAGTCGTTACGTTTTTAAATCTGTGCCATACTTTTAGCGAGGAACAGTTCGCTACAAATCTTCAAAAGTTTTAACTTTTAATCACAACCCACTTCACACACGCAACCAGTCCAAAGTGCCGCGAAGCGGCGCTTTGGACTGGTAATTTATAAATGAACTATGTCTGCTAAACAGTTGAAAACTACTCTTCCACTCCCCCAAACATAATTCTTCCATCTTTAAGCCATCAAATGACGATCTCACACATTTGAGGGCTTACTATGATTATGCTGCATTATGCGGTCATCATGACCTCATGCGCCCCAAACTCAAGCTCTAGAATTGCTTAATTATGAATAAGAAGTCTACTTCTATGCCGTTCCTTATTGCTGATGTAAACTATCATCGAACATTTGGGCTTTGCAGAAAAGAAGTCACCCTGGACCACTGAAGGAGAAGCAAGTAAGTATTTTGGACAACACTTCTTTGTACTAGCAAAGTTCCAAAACAAGCAGGACGACGGAGGCATTCCGGAAGTAAATACTGCATCGATAAAAGGAGCGTCACTGCCACCTCCTGAAAATCTTGCTTCAGCTAGTGCTACATTATTTGATGTAAGTGAATAATTTTACTAATGGTTAGTGATAAAACGTAACTTAACGAACATAACTTCTTCACTGCGGTACAGAGCGGATATATTTCACCCTCTCCACTGCCTCTCCATTTCTTCCTATCTGTTTCGCATCTTGCGCAGCAATCTTCTCATAGACATCTCTTACCTCCTGACTTTCTCACTTTCTTGCCTTGCAATGGATCAACTCGCATCAAAGCTGCAGAAGTCGTTTGATGCGAATTGATAACATCAAAAAGTGCTAAAAATTAATAAATTATCAAATTGTCAACGAATGTCGCACAAAAGTTTAGAGCATCCCTCTGGACCTAAACAAATGTGTGCAAAGTTTAACAGTACAGGTTCAGTGAGGAGCGTTCCTATAGAGCGCACAAATTATTTACGGAATGATACTGCATAGACAAAGTTCGAGTTTTAGCATAGAGATATATTACGTTGAACAAAGCACATAATCATCGTCGTAGGTAAGTGTACTTGAGTGCATTTGCACAAGTTTTCAATTTTGCACTAAGTGTTGAAGTTAGAAATCGCAATTTTTTGCTTAAAACAGTCGTGCTCAGCTAGTTTTTCCCCGACAGAGCTTATTACTATGACATAAAGTACCACTGGTCTCTTTTACTTACCCAAGTTTATTGCTAACCCAATTCCTGCAACTATAGGGGCGCTAGACTGTGAGGTTTTTTATTCTTGCACTGTTCCTTTAGTGGGTTTGCCACTTTTGTTAGATTCCTCCATAGTTTGCGATCCACTACTTGAGGCAGTGGCTCGGCTAATCCACGACCTGAACTTTGTTCGCTTACCTGAGGTGATTCTAGGCGCTGATTTCGAAAATACACCTTAAGAGCACGAATAAATTGAAAACCAGCGTTTTCCAAGGGTTCTCATTTTGAATTTCGACGAGTGGACCACTCCCCACCATGGTTAGAAACGTAGAGTCGTTGCGGGGCCCTCATGTAAGCATTGCGGCATGCCGCCTCTGACGCTGGGAGGGGACGGCAAGCTCGTCCAAGCGCGTATAAGCATGGCTTGCGCGCACGGGTTTAGGGGCAGATTTTTAGGCAAAGGCAGCATGTAGTGCACTTGGACCTGCTCTATTCTGATGTTTGGGATGCAAGTTTGGGATCCTTCCTTATCAGAATTTCGAGATGTTTGGTTTTGCCGAGCCACTGCCTTTGATATATTTCAAATCTGCTTTGACTCTGTCCATCATCTTAGCTTTGGCCTTGCTTTTGTTCTCTCTCCTCAATACTTCTGCAAAGTTTGCCAGGCTAGGAACGTAATCTCATGCTCTTCTTCTTACTTGCCTGCACCAACGCAGTCACTCTTTATGCAACGCCTCCACGGCGGGCAACTTTCACCGTGGCTCTTATGGTATTGTTTGAGACATGGTCCATTAAGGTGACGCCTGTCGTCCGCCTCAGCATTCGTGTCAACCTCACACCTTTTCATTTTTTGTCTCTCGTACATAACCAACATTCACTGCTATATCGAGCCGTCAGACGGGCTATGGTGCAGTGAACTGGGTATCCAGTTTGATCGGGTCTGCTTATCGTACAGGACTTTTGTTGGCTTCTCCACTTGGACCTCTTTAAGTTTATGCTGGCAAACCACGTCCTGAATCGGACCATCTGCTGAGATGAGACCCTAAACATTTGAAGACAATGGTCTTCTTAAATGAATCGTTTTCGATCTGTGTAGTCACATGCATTTGAGGACCCGGAGCTCTTTGTACTCCGTTTTCGCGATTGACCATCAGGCCACGCAGCTCAGGTTTCAGTTCTCCACTTCTCACATCGGTCTCCAATTCTTTTCTGGTTCATGTCAACAGAATCACGTCGTTGCGTACATCAGCGTGCATAGAGACCAACGTAGAAGCTTCCGACTAATCATGTTCACCATGATGAAAAGCAGGGACGGCGGTACGCAACCCTGACAAAGGCCACGTTGATTTGAAAATCTTTAATCGCCCTGCTGATACATGTACTAGCTTCTGGTAACCTTGTATACCATTTCAAACCACTTCAGTAGTCTCCCAACACCATATGCATTCGTAGCGACCACTATATGGTCTCATGCGGTACCTTTCGAATGCCTTTTCCAGATCGACGCTGCATGTAACTCACACTGCTTTTCCCTGCTTCTTACCTTCCCGGCAACATGTACAGCATCGTTGTGCTGAAATCCTCTACGAATCCACACTGGCCAAGGTGTAATGCTTCGCAATCGAGCTTCTTGGGTTTTTTTTTCGAAGATCCTCGAAGTGTGGCACATGACTCATGGTTCGGCAAAAAGTCACTAGTTCTCCTTTGTTTTTGTAGGTTGGTTCGGCGAGAAGTCAACGATTTCTCCTTTGTTCTTACCTACTGGTAATCGCGATGCCATTCTTTGTCCTCATTTATTGATTCCGCGTTCTACGGTGGTTGGGACTAATTATGACAGGGGCTCAGCTGTAGCCTTCGGTGCCTACTCGAGGCTCGTAGCTTTTTGCGAAGTTTGCTTTTTATCTCATCTAATTCTTGAAGTCTTCTCCACACTCTACTGCTTGGCTTCGATATTGTACATTTGTGAGATATGTAATGATGACACGAACTTGTAACAACAGTTCTTTGGTAGGCTCAAGAGTCATTCTAAAACATTGCATCGCGTGAAATCCCAATACCCATCTTTTTGCCGGAACGAGTCCTCCAAAAAATTGTCACCAGCTGAGGCAATCTTGATGAGGACCAAAACGTGATGTTTACCATTATAATGTCATGTGCTGTTGTACTTGATCTTCTCTTTTTCAGAAGATTGTGAAAGAAAGTGCGGAGAAAATTGGAGACACTTTGATAGACGAAGCTGCTGAAAAAGTCATGGCTGTAAGTAACGTTGAAGAAAGCACAACTTTTGGTTTTTCCAAATAAATATTAGTTGGCACATAAGTTTGCAACTTATTTCATAATTTTTCTCTTATTGACTATGACGCATTCATTTTTGGAAATAATGTGGATTAGATAGTAGGCTACAAATCTGCGCGAACAGTTTAATTCTTAGTAGCAAAGTGGAGAAAATTTACTTATTTTTCGGAAGATAATCAAATCCGAAATTTTAAGGGTCGAAAAACCAAAAATAAAGCTTAATCTGAATCAAGCAAGTCAAGCCAAAAAACTATGTAGATGGTTAGAGTTTCCTCTATCAACGTTCTGGATACAGTTTCGTCTTGATATGTTTGTTCCAGACTGAAGACGCTTTATTTTTGCTTTTCCGACCCTTAAAATTTCGGATTTGACCAGCTTCCGAAAAATGAGCAAACTTTCTCCATTTTGAAACCAAAATTCAAACAGTTTGCGCAGATTCACAGCCTATTATATAGTCTACATTATGCCCCAAAATGAATGCTGCACAGTCAAAAAGAGAAAACTTGCAAAATAATCTGCAAATCTTATGTGCCAACCCAGTAGACTAGGTTCCTTTTATCAGACAGCTGCAGGTAGCTAAAAAGAGAGCGGTAACAAAATCAGCCCCCAAATAGTGTAAATCCTTGAAGAGTCGGGCATACTCCACGCGATTTTAGTCGCGACGCGATTTGGCAATTTGCGAGAAGACTTCAGATCTAACATTAATAAATTGCACATGCATAATGTGCATAACTTAGGTAGATTAATAAAATGGTCTATCTTCAGTACATTCAAAATGTGTTTACAATAAATTATGGACAGTTGGAATATTGCCAAATCGCGTCGAGACTGAAATCGCATGAAGTATGCCCGGCCCTTAGCTTGACAGATGTCTTATTGGAAGACGGTCGTGCATAAAAGTCTATAGTAAACACGTAAATTGTATTAGCGTGTGCGCGGCAGACTTCCTTCCCCTTCCACTTACAAGGAAAAAATACTTGATGACCGTGGTTTTCTGAAATGATGCGTACACCATTAAATGCATCTTGAAGCGCTGATTTCAGATCTGTTGGCACTATCTGCTGTACGCTCTTCCGAAAGAAGTTATGAACATTTCTTGTCACCAAAATTTACACTGTTTTTGATGCAGGATTTACCAATATCGTCAGCATGTTCGCTTACTCACTACAAAAAGAGCGTACAGGTAAAGTAAAGCTTCACGTTAAGCTCAGGAAAACTGTCACCGATACATCAGAGTCTAAAAAGCTTGGATAGTGACGATTTTGGCCGCCTAAATCTCGCAAATTCAATATGGAAAAAAGTCCATAATTTCGTTCAGGGATCGCACAGCAGATAATGAACATAGATTTAGAATCAGCATTCAAAGAGCACCTACTGTTATACATGCCATTGCAAAAAACTACGGTCACCAAGTATCCTTCCCTTGTTAGACTCGAGGTTATGTCCAAAGTGAAGACCTCGTGTTCCGACAAGATGACAACTAGACCAAGTTTTTGAGTGTGCAAGATTACAGGGATAACTGCAGTTTGATCGGGACTGTATTGCACGAAACATTCAGCTGTCCCGTGAAATACACGTATAGGCACGATTCACTTACGGGCACGTCTCGTTGGGTTGTAGGTAACTATGCGAAGGACCTAATACTATTGCAAGGCAAGTAGGGTGACTCTTACCCTGACAGCAGCCACCGCTAGCAGTCAGTGGCGGACCGAGGGAGGGGGCCGGGGGGGGGGGGGCGCGCCCCCCCCCCCGAGAATGGGTCGCGAAATTTTTGAAACTTGCCTATATGGGGTGTAAAAATGTGCAAACGACTTGTTTGCACTTGAAAATAATTAAAATAATTTTTAATATTTTTTAAAAATTCATTTTAGCCTTATAAAAAAATTTTTTTCGGGGGCAGGACCCGCAAAAATTTTGAGAAGCACCCCAAAAATTTTTTCGGAGTGCGTGGCTAACGCCACGCACCTTTTTTAGAAAAATTTTTTTGTCGCGCCCCCTCCCCCCGAAAAAAATTTCTCGGACCGCCACTGCTAGCAGTGTATAGCTGCCGCCAGCAATCGCTAGCAGCCGGTCGGCAACAAACGACAGCTGCTGCGAGCCGCTTGTGTCATGTAAGAGTGTGAAGACTGAAGTTATCAGACTTTCATGTTTTCTCATGTTTTCGCTTACGCTTCCCATCTTACATGCTTTTTCTTGATTTTTGCTAGTATGCAGCTTGACTCTCATACGTCACTTTGTATTCTTTGCTTTCATTATTTGTAGCATTATTCAACGACTTCAGTGATCTAACCTGCCTAATGGGTTGCTATACCTAGGGATTGTTACAGAGTGTTATAGAGTTTCGAGCTACAAAGTTAACAGCAATTTCTCCCTAACCCAAATATCAAGCTATAGCGTTTGTGAAACTCGACGGTGGAACTTTGACAAAGAAGATTAATCAATGATTTTAATTACTCCTGCAGCACCCTCGAAAACAACACCGTCTACATGCATGAATCATTCTAAAAGCCTAGAATGAAGCCAACTATATTGGTCATTGACCGATAAAACTAGCAATTATCTCTTTTCGGCTTGATTTTGCAGTATTTACACCAACTCTCTGTTTAGTGAAATTGTGTATACTACTGATGCTGACACATATTTGTGAGTTGCAGGAACTTGAAGGCGAGCCTTGGTATCACGGCGCTCTTCCCATTGAAGACATAGCAGCAATGGCAACATCAGAAGGAGACTTTCTTATCCGCGAGCTTGAGCCGGAAGAAGGCAGAGGTCCAATGGTTCGTTCGGTCGCTGTCAATATGTTTTGATGTGAAGTGTTGTAATATGTTCAATTATGGCTTTGATGAACCAACAGCCGTAAATAACACACATCATCCTTTGTAGTTTGAGGGTACAAAAGAACTTTACATGCTGCTCTGCACTTGTTCGCACATAGTATGTACAGTTGTATCGGTGGAATCCGGCCAACATTGCGGGATTTGCGGGATTTGCGAAATTTAATTATAACTTCTTCTAAATCAACTTTATTTGGAATATGCAAAAAGATTTGGCACTTGATGAGACGAATCTTTTAGTATGCCCGTAGTCCATGTTGATAAGGCAGACATATGATAATGTTTTGTTATTTTCAAAACTTGTTCATATGAGCAACAATACATGTTGATAATCTCGTAAAACATCTCTACGGAAAACGGGCATAATATATACCAAAAGATTCGTCTCATCAAGCTGGAGCTACATCTTTTTCCAGATTCCAAATAAAGTCGTTTCAGAAAAAGTTATAACTGAATACCGCAAGTCCCGCAAATCCCGCGATTTTGGCCGGATTCCAGCGCTACAACTGTAGTTGGATCCAAGTTTGTGCGTCTGCTTTGTTCTACCTCGTCTGTAATCGAATGTTCAAATGATTACACATGATATCAAAAGACTCCTACCTTATGAAACTATGAAAAAGCTCTGTAGCACATAAACCTGAGTTGTAGGATACGTCGGAAACAACAAATTCAACTTGTGATACCGTATCACGTTGCTGGTTGTAAGGTGGTTTGTACCTAGAATGAATGGACATTTTGAGAGGCAATGTCGCAAGCCATTTTCGCTTTCAAGCTAAACTTGACCGTTCAGAGTTGCCCGTGTGCCCGTTTTTGCCCGAATTAGAACTGTCACATGCTAAGAGGAGAATGCTGCTTCCAACCTGCGCTGGCATCGCGGTGTCATATGCCGGTCCTGCGGTCCTATGGTGCTGTGATGACACCGCCACTCGGTCGCATCCGGAATGGTGCAAAAGCAATCAATTAGACAGTGCGCTCAATATGGTTTTAATGTCATTTTCATGATGGCCGCCGCTTTGCGTGCCTTTCGATCCTTCACCCCGCAACTGGCGTTCTTTTGCAAGACTTTTGAACCTTGGTGTTTATGCTCAATGCGCCAAAAAAGGACATGGACTGCGTAATAGGAGCCTATGGAAATTCTAGCAAGACACAGATTATAATTTCCGTGCTATGCAAGTATGCCCTTGAACTTTGATCAAAGTAACTTTTGCGGGAGGGTGTGCAGGATCCTTCAAGACCGTCCGCTTCTTCTCCAGGCGCGCCCTTGGGATGCAATAATCCCTTCGCGCCTACCTCGCGCTTATGCACTTGTCTCGCACCTTCCTGCGATAGTTTCCCTTCGGACAGTTGCCTTGTTTCTCCTGGCATTAAATAGAAAGGTCACTGCTCTAACGAGGATTTGATGATAACAAAAGATTGAAAATGTGAAACTCTTGATAATCAACAAATGGAGGTGAAACACTCGGTCTCCCCAATAAAGTGGATTAGAAAGTTTATTGTTTTTGTAGTCGGAAGGCCACCGCATCAGCGATTTGTAAAGTATATGAAAGACAAGCTGACTGATAGGCAAATACGTTCTGCCGTGACTGCTGAGATGTTATGGATAAAAAAGAAGCAAACGGCAATCATGTTTTTCTATCAGCGGAGCCAAGTATGAGCATATTTTTGGAGATATATTACTTCAAAAACACATTGTACATCATTTTTTGGCAGTTCATTAGTTCCGCTGTACCTAAACTTTTGTCCTTATGGGAATCGACGCCTTAAACAGATATGTAATTCAGCAGGACTGGTATCACAGCGAAAAATGTTAATAAAAAAAATTTTCAATTGGGATTCTCTTTAGATGACATGTTTCCGCGAAGCTTACTTCAGGGGAAAATTTCGAGCTTTTCTTATCGCCAAATTTCATGCATTCTGAGCTGCAAAATAAATTCCACAAAAGGACGCGAATCAATCGAAGCACTTGTTAAACATCATATGGTTCATTTTTAAAATCGTGACGACGAGTGTGACTGCGGTCTTTGCGCAACAGGAGCATAAAATACCCATAAAATCAGGCATAACTTCAACGCTCAGCTCAGTCACTTCCAGTGACTGAATACTATCTTATGTAAGCAAAAAAGTTTGAGTAGAGACAGAAACTAGGAAATGGAGTGCGTGGGTGTCGCGCGCGGTCGCGCCATCGTCACGATTTTTCGAATGCCCTATATCTAGTCTAACGTCATCTCTACGTTTCGAATGTTTTCTGGCCATGCTGTCGCCTACACACCTTTTCTTTCTGGACTAAATTTTCATTAATAAATAAGAAAAAGCCCACAAATTTCTTTGCAGTCAGCGCCATTCGACTAACTGACTTCTCTGTCCAGAGGCATTTCCATTGTCAATTTATTTTTATTATTTCATGAGTTCCAACGGCTTTTTTTCTATCATTTAAATAACACCGTTCAAGCAGTGAGCTTACTAATTGCTAGGAGGAACAAGGCAACTGTCCGGAGGGGAACTATCGCAGGAATGTGCGGGACGAGTGCGCGAAGAGGTTATTGCCTCCCAAGGGCGCGCTTGGAGAACAAGCGGCAGGCCTTTGGAGGATCCTGATACGCCGCCACTTTTGCGTCACAGGCATCTGAATAGAATTACCGTGAATGAAAGAGATAAAACTCTGAGGCTGCGTTCATACTGATCCCGAAGTCGGGGAACAGTTCCAGCACAGCGCTCAATACGAGCACTGTGCTGGGATTGTTTTCGGACTTCGGGATTAGTACGAACGCAGCCTGAGCTAGAAATTTGAGCACGTATCCAATACACATGGGACAAAAACGACACTACATTTAGTTGAAAACGCTAGCTGATGCATTCACATATCATTTGCATGCATCCTTGACCAAAAATTTTCACCGCTAACTGCTAACGAGTTCGTAAGATACGAATGTTTTGGATGATCATTCGAAGGTTTTGACGGCTGATCCTTGTAATTTCTTTTCACTTTCTAAATGCCACGAAATGGCTACAAATAGGTTGCGCGAGAGCTTCCCTTCAATCAGATGAACTCATTCTAGCCTTGCTTAACAGTGCGACTAGGGACATTATTGAAAGACTATCCCATTCATACAGTCCAGGTTGGAAAATCAAGAGTATTTACCATTGACGGAGTTAACAAAGCAGGCAGTGTTGTGAGCATTGTTCAGTAAGTGTAGACATTCTCGTGAAGTAATCTTTCAAACATTGAGGTATCTTTAGAAAGCATTTCCAAGAAAAAATAAAGCTGCAAGATGAGGCAATTTTATTGAAACCTATATCAAAGCAACCATGGGAACTATCAAAATACAAGATTAATCTTATCAACCGATTAGGAGAAGGAGCGTTTGGAGAAGTATGGAGAGGGACGTTCCGTCAGTCTCCTTCGAAAACAGTCGACGCTGCTATAAAAGTTGTAAGTGGCACACACTTTTGACTTTTTGTAGTGCAACAGCAAAACTTTCCAGATGAAAATAAAAGAAGACAACAGAAAGGTTATGCAGGAAATGTTCAAGGAAGCTCGTTTGATGCGACAGTACCAACATCTGTATGCCTTCCACTTCTTAGTATTTTGGGCAAGTAAAAGCAAAATCTTTCTACATCGAACAGTTACGGGCAAAAGTGGAAAACAGTGCATGATGTTTGAACAAAACACAGTTTTGAAAGTGCGAGCTCTGTCGTGTAATCGGTTTTAATCCAGTTTTCCTGATGTTCTCTTGTTGTATATTTGATAAAACAAAATCATTCTCAACTGCGTTTGCATACATCGCTTAACTGCATCGGTCATTGTATTGAAGATGAGCGGTGATGAGCTTACATCATTTAATTCATGTTTTCGACTGGTTAGCATCAACTGAGACGAACGCAGTATGCTGCGATTCTGGCCTCATGTTCAAAACATTCATGTGTTTTGGAACATGATTTACAACAGAACTTCTGCTGATAATCGTTTGAGTTTGCTGAGCTTCGACCAAGATATCAGCCACACTTTATTCACGGCCAACGTTTCGGCGGAATCGCCTTCGTCAGAGCCTAGAAAGTCGAAAACATAAGTGAAACATTCTCCTAGACGCCAAGATCTCAGCTCAAGACGAAAGTCAAATTGGAGAGAGGCAAAGGCACAGGGAGAACGGGTAACCAAGACTCACCTTCGATAACGTGTGATGATGTGTTAGACCACCATATACTCACACTATACCTCCTTCCCTATTTATAGCGCTCGGGTGACCTGAACTCATATCAAAACCCACAAAGGTATTAATATGGCGCCAGTTCATTGGTGATGGCTATGCATTCTTCCTTCCGGTTCATCTTTGGATTCTTGGCGTTGATCCATAACGCTTCCAAAGTTTTGCGCTAGGAGGTCGGGCTCGTACGCCAATATAGTCACTCCAATACTGATCTCAGCATTTTCATGGCACGAAATGCGATGGCTGCCTAACGGCGTAGCTGCTTTCAGTTTATTCAACCCATCCAGATGTTCTTTAACACGGCAGCAAAGAGGTCGTCCTGTTTCTCCGATATACGTATCACCACACGATAAACATGTGATGAGATAAATAACCCCGGAGATCATGCAATCACTCTTTTTGCCAAATGGGCAAACGACTCAAGCTGGGGTTAGGCAGGTACGATCGTAAGATCGATTTCGGACCAATTGACGCTTTAGGTTCGAATTCGATGCAAGCGATTTACGAACTCCTCTTAGAGCATCAAAGTTCCCTAAACCTGTACGGCTTCATTCTCAGTAGCATCATGACCCTCCTAAGCGAATGCTTAAAGTGTTCCATATTTAGGTGGTCAGGTCACTACTATAAGCAGGTTCGGGGTTTAGCGATGGGACAGCGATTAGCGCCAACTCTAGCCATAGTTTTCATGTCTAAACTAGAAGCGCCCGTGCTTTCGAGGAAACCATTGCTATATTGTCGTTATATAGATGATTACTTCATCATTTGTCCGACGCAAGCCGAGATGGATGTTTGTTTCAATCTTCTAAACCAGCAATACCCAAATAATAAGTTCACGGGAAAAGCCCAAGGAAAATTGGCTACCGTTTCTCAATGTACAAGTACGGCTGTGCGGTGGGGAATATAAAACTAGGTGGTACCGCAAACCCAGCTGCAAAAACATTTTAGTACATTATTTGTCTGCGCATCCCAGCATGCTTAAAAAGGCGGTTATAAGGAACATGTATCGGACAGCAGCAAAAGTGTCTTCGGGCGTGCAGGAGCGAAGTTACTCTAGGGAGTTAGCTTATCAAGTAGCTCAGTCTAATGGGTATGCCGGTGAGCCTATCCCAAACCCTCGCGGGTTTGTAGGACGCAGAGCCAGTTCCGGCAGCCCGGATGCGCCACTAACCAAAATTAGTTTCTGCTTGCCGTTCGTATCGGATAAGATAAGCGCGGCAGTGCGGCGATGCGTACATCTCGCGGGTTTGCAAGACGATGGGGTGGTCGATATACCACCCTCAAGCCTAAAGCGTCAATTGGTCCGAAATCGATCTTACGATCGTACCTGCCTAACCCCAGCTTGTGTCGTTTGCCCATTTGGCAAAGAGGGTGATTGCATGATCTCCGGGGTTATTTATCTCATTCACATGTTTATCGTGTGGCGATACGTATATCGGAGAAACAGGACGACCTCTTTGCTGCCGTGTTAAAGAACATCTGGATGGGTTGAATAAACTGAAAGCAGCTACGCCGTTAGGCAGCCATCGCATTTCGTGCCATGAAAATGCTGAGATCAGTATTGGAGTGACTATATTGGCGTAAGAGCCCGACCTCCTAGCGCGCAAAACTTTGGAAGCGTTCTGGATCAACGCCAAGAATCCAAAGATGAACCGGCAGGAAGAATGCATAGCCATCACCAATGAACTGGCGCCATATCAATACCTCTGTGGGTTTTGATATGAGTTCAGGTCACCCGAGCGCTATAAATAGGGAAGGAGGTATAGTGTGAGTATATGGTGGTCTAAGACATCATCACACGTTATCGAAGGTGAGTCTTGGTTACCCGTTCTCCCTGTGCCTTTGCCTCTCTCCAATTTGACTTTCGTCTTGAGCTGAGATCTTGGCGTCTAGGAGAATGTTTCACTTATGTTTTCGACTTTCTAGGCTCTGACGAAGGCGATCCCGCCGAAACGTTGGCCGTGAATAAAGTGTGGCTGATATCTTGGTCGAAGCTCAGCAAACTCAAACGATTATCAACTTTGATGCCAAGATTAATAAACAACCGAAGTTGGACAATAGAACTTCTGCTCTTAATACATGGCGTGCAACAAGATTTTCGTTTTAGCAACGTCGTTGCATTTTATGGGATGGTAATGGAGAACGATAATGTTATGATAGTGATGGAGATGGTAAATGGTGGTGGACTCGACCACCACCTAAAGACGGTGGATGTGAGACATTATAAAAACGATCTGAATTTCCCACGAAGTGAAGAGAACGTATGAGGGTAAATGTCGAATGATTAAGGTAGGAATACCGGACAAGTGTTCGTACGCCTTCGACGTTGCCTTGGGTCTATATTATCTGCACAGCAAACGCTGCATGCACAGGTAAAAAGAACTTTGATTCCACTTTTTCTAACAGAAATTTTTATGTGTTGCGCAAACACTGAACATCAGTACAAAAAACGCGTAAAATAGGGGCTACTTTGCTACTGACAAATAGTTGAGCCTTCTCTTACACACCTTTTTCCCGCTTCCACTTCGCATACCATGGGTAGGTGGAGAGGGAACTAGCCCATATCTTTGATCAGAGGGCCTTTCACACATCTACGCTGAAATAAACTTTCAAAGCTAATTGACACGCTATGGCTTATGGCTCCTCTTCCTATACCAAGCTTGACAACGCTGCAACTACCTTTATGAATTTGTTTGTGCGACAGAATGACATAAAGAATTGGTCTTAAACAGAAAGCCAACATATGCCATACGTGCTGATTATGTTCTGCCTACCATCTTTTATATTTGCGTGATTCGTCAAGACTTTGCCAAAAGTTGCAAGGATTTAGAGATCTGGCGTGCAGAAACTGTCTGATCGACACGCAAAAAAATATAGTAAAAATATCGGACTTTGGGCTTTCCAAGCAGGCAGACTCGTACAAAATAAAGGCTAACGAAAAAATTCCGACGAAGTGGTAACTTCCATAGAACACTCCGGTTGACAAAAAACCTCTTGGACATCAGCTTTGTTAAGCAGCGGTTTAGGTAGTAGATATGTATGACATACATTACAAAAGAGAAAAGTAGAGAAAACCAAATCCTATAAGATAATTCTGAACATGTCTAAGGCCAATATACAAATTAAAAGCATAGAGCAAATAATAAATTCATGCTCCACACCATTGGTTCTCATTTTCTCCACCACCTGAACAGTATGATTTTCCCAGTTGCTTACAAGGGAGGGTCGCTGAGTCAAAGTAACCGATTACCACCAATTACATACCATTATTGAAAGCTTGGAACACTGATTAGATCTGGGCCGGTAGTAATCTGGTCGAAACTTCGAGTTTAAAGCTGCGCGTTCACCCAGAGTTAACTCTGAGTTTCGTTTTGAAACTCCGAGTTAACTGCGAGTTTCGTTTCTGAAACTCGGAGTTTTGTTCTGCTACTTGAGGATCCGCTCTAGTTGTTGAGGAGCCGCCACATGCTTCATCGCAAAATGCTGCGTTTACGTCGGGTCTCAAACTTCCGTTGCTCGGCGCAAAGTGCCTACTTCTAGTACCGCTAAGCTAAAGAGCCACTATTGCGCAATTGCCGCAACTGCTTAGTGAATACACGTAATCAAGATCTCACAAGTCAAGACACGTGGAGAGGCGTTAGGCTTGCCTGTGAGGTGCCTAGCAGTGGCGCTCAGAGCGGTTCCGAGGGGGGGGGGGCGAAAAATTTTTTCAGATAAAGGTGCGTTGCGTTAGCCACGCACCCTGAAAATTTTTTTGAGGTGCATCTCAAAATTCTTGCGGGTCTAAAGCCCCCGAAAGTTTTTTACAAGGCTAATTTGAATTTTTAAAAAATTCTAAAAATTATTTTGATCGTTTACAAAAATAAACAAGTTATTTGCACATGTTTATAACCCATGTAGGTAAGTTTCACCCCCCGCCCCCTTCAATCCGCTACTAAAGCCTAGCCATAATATATCCTAAAGATTCTCAAAAAAGTAGCAGGATAAAACATGGACATAGACAGTAACCTAACAATCCGTCCTCCTCGCCTCTCACCATATTTTAATATGCTATTATACTTGATAAAATTTGAAAGTCTCTTAGTTTCAAAAATTTTTCGAATGACCTAGATCTATAATTTGTAATCTTGAAATAGACCTTTATTTTAGGAAAATAGACTTTAAGTAGTAAACAAAGTCTACAGGTCATTCGTTCAAATTTTCTCGAGGTTTCTGTTGACACAATAAAAAAGAAATAAACTAAACACTCCCTGGTATCATTAATTTTTTGCTAAGAAAGTTCAACTCGACCTGAGATTTTTACCGCTCTTCCGTATATGCCCACCGTAATAATCTTCATTGAAAACGGACAGCATGATCATAATTGCACTGCCAAATGAACTCAGTGGCGAATTTTTAAGCAGTTCAGTAAGTTTATTCCACGACATGTACTGCAGCCCCATCTCATAGTCTTGCAGTAAGAAGAAATTGTAAGTATCTAACAATGGCGGACCGAAGGAGATGCTCCCCCTCCCCCCCCCCCCCCCCCCAGGAATCGCGAAATTTTTGAAATTTACTTAATGTGTTATAAAAATGTGCAAATGAATTGTATGTTCTTGTAAATAATAGAATCATCACTTAAAATTTCTTATGATTCAAATTAGCCTTGTAAAAAATTTTTTTGGGGGCGTAGTGCTGACAAGCCCCTTTTTCCTATAATTTAGGAGTATGGGCCAGCAAGAAATGTTAAGAAGCACCCCGAAAAATTGTCGCCATGCACCTTCACTTGAAAATTTTTTGTCCCCCTTCCCCCCTCCTCCCGGACGGAATCCTGCGCCCTAAGTATTCAGCTAAACTTCCCCTGGAAAAAGTTCAAAGTGAGATTTTTTATCCTTCTAAGTGAGATTTTTTATCCATCTACCGTAAATCCATCGAAACCCCTTTTGAAAGGCATTTTCAAGTGACTATGATATTCCTGATTAACGTGCGGAATTAACGAAGCCAACTTTCATGAAATCCTGTGGTTTTGGGTAGTCTATCGTATCTCTTCTCCGCTATAAACCGCTGTAGTGAAAAACGCGCAATGTGATTGTAATCAACACACCGCGTAACCACTGAGCCAACCAATTTTAAATCTGTTATGAGACTTTGGCTCTCACCAAATTCCTACAGTAACCCTGCTCTATCTCTCAGTAGTGAAAAATGATTACCACATTCGAATTAGCGCAGCGAATACCGCCAGATTAAGTTTCAGTCAACTGCTTGAATCTCGCCCAACTACCGTATTCCTACCGTAACCTCGCTATGTGGGCGAATGGCGAAAAATGACTATGATAGTCGTTATCAGCGTGCCAAATAACCCCAATGTACCAAGTTTCAGCCCATTTCGTGACTTTCGCCCAACTACCGACCGTAATCCCGCTCCGTGGCCCCGTAGCGAAAAACGAATGTCATATTCATGATCAGAGTGCCAAAAACCCCACTGTACCAAGTTTCAGCCAATTTCGTGACTTTCGCCCAACTACCGCATCCCCACCGTAACCCCCTTATGTGGGCGAATGGCGAAAAATGAGCATCGGATTCGTGATCAGCGCGTCGGATAACCCTGGGACCAAAATTTTACAAAATTTTGAAATTTTGTGTTCAACGGCGCATCATGATCCCCCCCATCATGCTTCATGAAACTCGGAGCAAAATCTACCCCGGAGGACTTTTTTCTGCCCTCTGCGTTCGCACACTATTTCTCTTTCTCTAACCAAACTCGGAGTCAACTCCGAATTTAGGCGAGCCTGAAACGCGCATCAAACTCAAAGTCAACGCGCAGCTCAGCTGTGCGTTTCGTCGCGTAGCGTCTCGCGTGGAGCAAATTACGCTAAGTTTCCACACTTGGCATAAAGTACGTCTTGCGGGGTATCCTGCCATAAAACTTTTTCCCCAATTTGGTTTGCTTACGCAGTGTTAATGGTCCCTGAAAGGTGCGTGTTAACTCAGAGTTAACTCTGAGGCTCCCTCCAGAGTGCCGAAGCCATGCCAGCGCTACGCTAGCGCCGAGCCAGCGTTTCGATCGATTCACGTGTATTTCGTTGGGGCGGGGCTAGCTGACCTAGTTCTCAGCAGGTAGATGTCGTCAACGAAATACACGTGTATCGATCGAAACGCTGGCTCGGCGCTGGCGTAGCGCTGGAATGGCTTCGGCACTCTGGCGTGAGCCTGAGTTAACTCTGAGTTTGAGCTGCGCGTTTCGACAGGTTTACTACCGGCCCTGCTCTTCCTATGTGCCAAGCGCCTTTGGAGAAGAAGTTACGAGCATTTTGTGTAGTCGAAATACGAATCGGTAGCCGTAATGAAATCAATCAATCATTACAGCGTCTTTACACTTCATATGAAACGGCGGCCATTATCAGGATACTAACATAAACCTCTCTAGCTGGTATATAAGTACCCTAATTTCGGCGGGGGATTTTTTTCTAAAATCCGCCACCTCAAACACGCCACAACACTTCGCGACCAAAGGACCCTATACCGGGCTCCGTATTGCCTAAGAGAATTGAACGGTTTAAGGTTCGATTTCCGAAACAGGTTGAAGCGGTTGAGCGGATTGTTTGAAAAATCGAAAAAGGTGCGCCTTGTACGCGTGAAATAGGGTACTTCTTATTTGCTCGTTTGACGTTTGGGAAAGATGTTACAATTCATTTTTACCAGCCATTAGCCCAATTTTTAGCCCAAAAATGCTCATAATTTCTTTCACAAAAGCGCTCTGCAGTTATGACAAGCAGATTTGAAGTCAGCGTGTCAGCTCTTACTAATCTTTTTTTACGGGGATCGGTCACTTCGACTTCGTGAACTTTAACTTGTTGAATAGTAGCAGACAGTGGCGGGCCGAGGGGGAGGGGATGGATCGCAAAATTTTTGAAATCTACTTACGTGGGTTATGAGAATGGGCAAGTGACCTTTATTTTTGTGAATAATTTTTTAAGAATTCAAATTAGACTAATAAAAAAATTCTTCGGAGGCGTGGCGACAGACACGATCCTTTAGATTTTAGGGGATATGGGCGCGCAAAAATTCTGAGATGTGTCGTAAAAATGAATAAAAATAATACAAAAATATACTTTTTTCGGAGTGCGTGGCTAACACCACACCCACACCCCAACACCACCTTCATTTTAAAAAAATTTTTTGCCACGCTTCCCCCCCCCCCCCCTGAACGGAAATCCTGAGACCGCCAGTGGTAGCAGACCCACACACTTGCATGTAACCATCGTTGGATTAGCTTAGAAAACAAACAGAGCAATTCTGCGACACCACTCTTCATTCTGGATCACTAAATAAGGATCGCCACTATCTTCATTTTGCACAAAAATCTGACATCAACTTGAAAATGTCCAAGAGTTTTCTTGTTAGCCTAATAGTAATACTTGCATGCGGCGAAATAGCAATTTAGGCAAGCACCAGAGGTCGTCGCTACTCATGTATATACCCGTGAATGTGATGTATACTCGTATGGTATACTTGTTTGGGAGATCTTCAATAATGCCAAAATGCCATTCGAAGAGTATGATAATAAGACAGTGCGAGCTCGCGTAAGTTACTTCTCGGGTAAAAATCTACTTTTTTTTTTACAAAAATGCATATTGCAGCTATCTGATCCAAACTTCCGCCCTCCTCTTTCAAACGATCTCCCCGATGAAATTCGCATAGTAGTCAAAGCATGTTGGGCAGCGCAGCCTATTAACAGGCCTGTAATGAAAGACGTTGCTTGCATCCTTAAACGCTTTGAGAAGCACAAGTAACTTCTGAGCAAGGTAAAAAGCTAGACAGATTTTAAAAAGAAGTATTTAGTGTGCCTTCAAAAGCTATAAGAAAACCTGCTCTACCAACACCCGCAGCACCTCCACCAGCACCCGCAATACCTCCACCAATACCCGCAGTACCTCCACCTGCGGTACGACCTTTACCTCGAACCCAGTTCATTCGTAAGGCTGCTACTGCAAACCCGAATCTGGCAAGACCAATCGCACCAGTAGTCTCAAGGGGAATAATCAGAAGACCCAGCACAGTAAGTCAGCATTCATTCAACGTATAATGAACATAAAAAATTATCTGTCTTTACTAATTCTTTCATATGGAGCAAACAGATTTCGTCATGGTAATGTGATGTATGTACAGTTGAATCATTTCATGTGATCATTGCGTTGCACACACCGTCCATCTTTGACGTTCTCATACTGCGCTATCGCAAAAACGCAAGATACTAAGCAATTGTTATCTTTACATCACTCTGACGTAATTAGTTCTAAAAAGACAACACATTGAACATTTACTCGAATGGTTGTCTCCCTAAAAATTTAGAATAGGAACGCCAAAAGTGGACTGTGTGTGCAACGAAACACACAGCCATATCAAACGATTCGATTGTATACGCAAACCATCGCACAAGACTGGACGCCGTTGCGTCTGATCAAAATAATTAATGTTTGAGATAGGCAGCAGACGATTAGGGTGATGAAAGTGTGCTTGATACCAGAAACATAGAGACCGCAGTGACGCCCTTTCTCTGCGTGCGATGATGTTATTGATGACTCGCATCAAAGACAAGGAATTAAATAGCTATGTAGGGATGCAAATACAACGAGTCTGTAAACCGTGCTAAAAGCCTGGGTTCGGTAGATCATTAGTCTCAAGTTCGCTTTGTAAATTGATTATTATTTCAAAATAACCCAAAGAGGCTGTTGAGTTCTTTTTTGGTAAGTTCACGTGTTTGACTTATCAAAATTTCCAGATATCTAAGGTAGTGTAAGATTTTGATCTTATCTTAACTAAGCTTGGCGCATTGGATGTTGTGCGGCTACGTCCTTCGAGTTCAATAGCGATAATATGCGCTAAAAATTATAACTCGCACAACGACAGCGAATGTTTTGTCAAACTTAATCCGTGAACACTCTCTCTTGTCACTTGTCAGGGGTTCCCCGGCAAATTTTGAAGCGCTTTATGAAGTTTGTTGGGCAACGTCTCATTCCCTCGAGCCAAAATAATGCATTTGAACTCGCAGTCATTTGTGCCTCTCAAGCTGTGAATTCAAGCTACCACGTCTCTTATCGCCTGTGCGCTTTCAATCTAAAAATGCTTTCACGGTTTTTTTTCAATATTTTTTTATCCTCGCATGTGTCCCGCTTATGCAGTGTCTGCTTTTCCCGTCAGATGTCTCCATGTTATTCTGTCTAAGGCAAGGTCTTCGTCTATACCAAGTTCTCGCAGATCTTGGCTCTGTCTATCCCTCACCTCCTAACTCTGGGTCTTTTGCCTGATGCTCCCACCGCCAAGGCTAACCTTGTGATGTGACCTTCATCAGTTCTGCGGACATGCCCATACCATCGTAGCCTCTTTTCTTGCATTTTCTAGGCAATTGGAGCGACTTTTATTTTAGCTCGTATAGTGTCGTTACAAATGTGATCCTTCAGTGTGACTCCTAAGGTCCATCGTAGCATCCTCGTTTCCATGACACTGAGCTTCCGCTCCTCGTTCTAGGCCAGCACTCACTGCCATACAGTGCTGCTGGGCGATAACGGTCCGATACAGTTGGGACTTGAGTTGCACTGGCATTCTTCTGTCGCACAAAACTCCTGTTAAGGCTCTCCATTTTATCCATGCTGTGTTCATCCTGCCTGCGACCTCCTCTTGTAAGCCTCCCTCCGCTGAGATGTGACTGCCTAGGTACTTGTATGACGTGTCTTCTTTAGCTCTTCACCATCGATGCTTATGGTACCAGGAGTTTGCTTCCCTATTTCCATATATTCTTTCTTCCTGGTGTTCAGCTTTAGGCCATACAACTCTAGCCTCTTCTTCCAGTTTTGTACCTTGTCTTGTAGCTCCTTTAGGTGCTTGCTATCAAGACCACATCATCTGCGTGGAGAGGTGTCCAAGGAGGTTCACGTCTGAGCGGTGTTCATCACAGTGATGAAGAGCAAGGGAGAGAGAACTGAACCTTGGTGCACTCCAACCTTGGTTTGAAATTCTTTCGATTGCCCTGCAGCTGTTTGCACGTGGCTTAAAGCGTTGTAATGGATCAACTTTATCCACTGAATGTACTCCTCTGGCACCTTGTGTTTCCGTAAGGTCTACCATATGACTTCATGGGGCACCCTATCGAAGGCTTTCTCCAGGTAGAGGAAGGCTGCATGCAATTCCTTCTGCTTCTCTCTATATTTCTTCATCACTATCTGAGCGGAGTGTTGTACCTACTCAGTTGTACCTACCTACCGTCAGTTTATTTATTTATTTATTTATACGTACACACGAGGTGCATCAAAAAAAAAGAACATCAAAGAAAGAAAAATCAGAAAAAAAAATGATGCCAGCCAGTCATAATCGTCAAGGTAAAGTAGAATAAATCACGTGGACAGAAGATACAAAGCTCAAGACTCCTAACACAAGGAAAAAAGGAGAGTGTACTAAGTCAGAAGACAACTCAGAAATCTTGCACCTTCAAAACACATGATTAACCCGTTTTTGGGTGCCAGCGAGCCCCCCCGGTAAGAGCTAGCTGACGAGACCCCAAGAATAGTCTGTTTTGAAAGATGACAAGATTCTGTGTAAAACTGTTCAGTACAGATAGACACATGTACACAAGGTCCGGATAAATAACAAACAGCAATGAAGAGGTCTAAAGCTGCTAAATAAGCTCCGATGAGTAATCATTAAAAGATCTCCATGGAATGAAAACGGCTGGTATTGAAAGTAAGTGAAGACACGAATGAGTTAGATACATCAACAAACAATAAAGAAACAGAAACTGCAGGATAGCAGTCGTGAACGAAAGACATAAAAAGCTAAAAATAATCAAATGAGGTAGGGATAAATTAGAAACATATGAGAAGCAACACGTAGCGAAGCAGCACCCAACGCAACACAACCCATCATATCGGTAGTTATACCGCGAGAAGCGAAGCAACTCAGATGAACTGAAACAGAAAGACACAGGGCAGAACTATATATGAGAAAGTAAACTTGACCCGATCCACACTAGTAAGGCATCGCACATCTCTTGAATAAATGTCTTTGGGCAAGCAGCAACCTTCGAAATAAAAATTGCAGAAAGCAGGAAACGAAGGAAAGAGAGAGCCATAATTGAAAAGCCATAAATTGAAAAACGTCCATCAAAAGCCAGTCAAGCAGTCCCTGAAAGGTAACCCTCAGGTGGGAACAAAACGGAAAAGATGAAAACAAAGCCATTGTTGAGCGGTAATCCTCCATGTGGCATAAGCAAGCACGTAATTGCAACTCTGGAAGAATAAAGAACCAGCTGCAGGAGGCTCGGAGTGCCATGCACCGCTAATTAAAATCAGCGATACCTGGCAAATCGAGCCTCTCCAGTCTTTTTTTGAAAACGTTACTACTTGCTGCACTAATGGTCTCAGCAGGGAGGCGAGAAAGCCAACTCGCAACTTTGTAGAATACATTGTTGAACATTCGTAAGGAGCTATTACGTCGGAGTCTAGGATGATGCAAGTTGAAGGATCCAGATCTTTCACTAGTGGGTGCAAAAATCCAATACTTGCTAGCTTTCAACTTGTTCTCTTTTCTAAGGACTTGGAAGCAGAACACAAGGTCCAAAAGTATGCGCCGATGGATGAGGGTCTTAAGATGAAACTTAGCAAGGCGAGCTTCATACTCAGGGGGAGAGGTTCCAGGCGATGTGCGCCTCCACAGAAGACGTGTGAACAATTGCTGCACCTTTTCAATTCTTCTAACATCTTTCTTTCGGGATGGCGACCATACTTGTGAGCAGTACTCTAAATGAGGAAGCACAAAAGCCTTGTACAGCCGAATCAAAATATTATCTGAGGTTGTACTTGTGTTGCGAAATAACAAAGAAGGGAAGAATAAGCTTTGTGAATTGCCATATCGATATGCTTAGAGAAACTGAGCGACTTATCCATCAAGACTCCCAAGTCCTTAACAACATCACACACCTTCAATATGTGATCGTTAAGGCGATAGGGAGTCTCGGGCATTCTTCCAAGATGAAGGACAGAACATTTAGAAAGATTAATGGTCAAGTCCCAACAGTCAGCCCATCTCTGTAGTTCATCAAGGGACCTCTGCAAAGCACCCTGAACCTCTGAGGCATCGCCGGCATCATAAGCTCCGTACACTTTGATATCATCAGCATACATTCGGATATGAATGCTAGGTGATGTCCTGAGCGCACAAGGTAAGTCAAATGTTTTTTTTTATCCATGCATCTTCCCGCTTACTCGGGGTCTGCCACTCTTGTAAGTCTCTTCCACAGTTCGCGGTCTAAGGCTTGCTCTTCTTCGATCTTTAGTTCTTTCAGATCCGCTTTGATCTTATCCCCACCTCAACTTTGGCCTTCCTCTTGGCCTCTTTCCTGGTACTTCTTCTGCTGTGGCTGATCTGGAGATATGGCTTTCTTCCCTTCTTTGCACGTGACCGTACCACCGAAGTCTTCTCTCCTGCATCTTCTTAGCTATTGGGGCGACCTTCATCGTTGCGCGTATGGTATCGTTGGTAACGTGGTCGATCATGGTGACGCCTGCCGTCCATCGTAGCATGCGTGTTTCCATCACACTGACTTTACGTTCGTCGCTTCGTGTACACGGCCAACATTCGCTGCCATATAGAGCTGTCGGGCGGATCACACTACGGTACAACTGGGACTTCAGCTTGCGTGGCATCCGCCTATCGCACATGACTCCTGTGAGGCTCTTCCACTTCGACCATGCTGCGTTTATCCTGGCAGCTATCTCTTCTTGGATCGTACCATCTGCGCAGATGCGGCTTCCTAGGTACTTGAAGGTAGTAGTCTTCTTGATTGGAGCGTCTTCAATCTGTATGGTTCCTGGCGTTTGAGCTCCAAGCTCCATGTACTCGGTCTTCGCGACATTGATCTTCAGGCCGTGCAGCTCGAGTTCAGATTTCCACTTCTGCACATCCGCCTCCAATTCATTCCTGCTTCTCGCCATCAGAATCACGTCATCTGCGTACATCACGGCCCATGGAGGTTGACGTATGAAGTTTCTGACTATCGTGTCCACA